GACTACTTAAATAGGCAACCAAAAGTTGTACGTGTGACTAGTTGTACTCTCGTTATACTGATATAATATGTAAGCCACTCTTCGGACTGCCCACCCATTTGAACTAATAAAGTGCCAGGGGCCTAAGTGGTCACCTCAATATTAAAAAAAATAAAATAAAATAATAATAATATCTGTTATCCTTTTTATATCCGGATGCATCCGGATTTTGTAAACCGGATCCAAGCACTACCTTTTTAAGGCTAGAATTTACAGGGGTGAAGGATTTTTTGTGGGAACACTACCGGATATATAAAAATAAAATATAAATCCGGATAGAGGTATTAACTCTAGGCCTACATTATAGCGGTTTGCAAAATGCGTGACTCTGTGATTTTCGTGGCAGGAAACCCAGGGCATTCTCAAGAACTTCCCTTAATTGATTTATCAAAGAATCTGATTGGTTTATCAGATTAAATAGTCTATGAATTTATTGAGAGGTGCTTGGAAACGAACTCAATCAATATTATTACATATTTATTGGAAACTATAAAATTCTTGAAAGCGCGAATAATCAGCACAATAAGGTAATGCAGGCTAGTTAATCTTTAAATTACCTCTTGTCAAACCTTTCCGATAAGGCCATACAAAGTTGATTTTTCGTTTTGCATTACATTGGTCGGATTTTTTTTTTTTTTAATCTACAGTAAATTAATACTCATGTTCATATTTAAGGCCACGCAAAGTTAATTTTTTTGCTTTGCATAACATGGAATCAGAAAATTTGGACGGCAGTCGAATTTTTTTTATCAGTTATTTATCGGGTGTTATCGGAGTAATTTATGGTGAAAAATCAAATGGTAAAAACAATTGGAACTTAAAAAAAATTTTTTTGAAAAATTGAAAAAATGGGTCTGCGGGTAATGCAAAACGAAAAATCAACTTTGCGTGGCCTAAATATGTAATTGAAAATATGATTGATAGACTATTTAAAATAATGGAGGGCCATCATTACGAAATCTCAGGGTCACACCTTTTCGCAAACCCACAATTGAAAATATACCGTAATCTACAGGAAATTTATTGTGCTTTGTATAAGATGTGGATCACGATGTAGATTCTATCAATTTTAAGAAATTTATCGATTTCAATGAATTATGAACGTAACCGATCAACCGGCAGACAATCTAAAATCTCAGAAATTTTCCTCGATTATCATCACAAAAAGCATGTGGCCACATCTTTTTGTAAAGCGCTATAAATCTCAGAATCGCTACCATAAACACGAAAAACATAAGATCACATTTTTTGCAAAGCGTAATAATAATTAAATTAGTTATCGTAGAATTGTTCCCACCTCTATATCGAATATCAGTGCTGTAATTTGAAACAGGATGCGAATATAGCAATTTTCAATAGCATACATTAAATAACAAATGTCTAATAATATAGTTTTGCTGGCTCGATTGCAGATCATGTTACAACTGTTTTATAAGATTTTGGCTATAGACGCTAATCAAACCCAAAATGCAAAAGACAAACCTCCGATTAAACTGTAAACCGTGATAAAACCTATAATCCTGGCGAAACATCGAAACCTTGATTAAGTGCCACCCCTGGAGAAATTCTATTTCATAAAAAGTGTTGTTCCTTGATCTAACTTAAAGATCATAAGACAATGCTTTTTGTGATAAGCTAAGCTTCGTGAAGTCAAAGCCACTGGTAGAAGAACAAGTCTATTAATATTTAACTTGAAATAATATACATTACTTGGTTTTTAAAATATGGCTTTAACATATTTTAATCATAATTTTTTCCAAGAGAAATCAAGTATTTGTGCGTTAATCACTTCAGAAACTACATGGTATTGAAATGATAAATCTAGGACGACTATGTAAAAAAATAAAATATAAAAAATTAGTATAAATATATAAATATATGTATATGTATCAAACGAATAATTTTAACAAATAATTTGTTGAATAATCAATTTAGAGTGTTATGCTGTAAGTTATAGCATAAACCACAACAGTTTTTACCGTGTCTTTGTATTCAAATTTTATATCAATATTGTAGTTTAATAGTTTTGTTACTATTTAAAGAAGCAAAAGTTATATAGACCTCTAATTTAAATGTAGGGCTTGTTAGTTTTATGCAGTAATTTATGCGACATGTATATTAATAAAGTTTATAAAATTTATTGGTTTTAAGCAGTATTATTTACCTACAGCATTGAACATTGAAAATAAATCACCAGCTTTGAGATATGCTTTATACGTGATATAATATATACTATAATATATTTAACCTATAGCATTTTATTTGTATTAATAGATAATAAATAGTTTACAATATACAGAAGTAAGACTAATAAAAAGAAATTTCCTATAAACCAGTAAATAATTTTATATGACTTAATAAATGCATTAGTTACTATCTTTATGAAATAATATAACTATACTTATATTAACATTATAGTGTTAATAAAGAGAACTGCAATCATGTTGTGGTTTTCTTATTATTTTTTTTTACATTTATCAACCAGCAAATTAACTATTTCATCCAACTTACTATCAGGATCATTTATAGCTTTATCACCTAGTGCAAGAAGTTTCTTAACATCTTCATCCCCTACATCAGCTAAATTCAATTCTTGATCCATTACAGGTTGAATCCGATAATATGTTGTTCCATCAAATTCAGCCAGCATTTTCATAGTGTTGTGATGATTTACTTGTTCCATGTCCATCAAAAGACTAATTAAGGGACTTACCCATTGAACTATACCAGCATTATTATATTTTTCTAAAGGTTTTGGGTAATATCCAGTACCAAGAGAAATAACAACAAATTTTGAATTTGGATACTTCTTTTTTGCTTCAAGATAAGTTTTAGATGTTGGATTATTCATAAAAACACCACCATCTATATAATATTTACTAGATAAATTTTTGGCAGGGAAAAAAGTTGGAGCAGCAGCACTTGCACGTACAACATCTTTCATTAAATTATCTTCATGTTCAGAGGTTAAATTTGTAAAAAAGACACGTTTACCTTGGGAGAGATTATAAGAAGTAATAAATACTTTTACACCGTTTACAGCATCTTTAAGTTTAAGATCTTTAAAATTTTCATTTAATAATTTTTCAAAACCAGATGGATCATATTTCGGACCAAAAGGATCATAAGATTTTAAAAATTCTTGTAATTCAAATAAATGTTCCTTAAAAGTTTTTTCATCATTTGTGGTAGTTACATCGATAGATACGTCAGTAGTTACAATTTCAGTGTTACTTTTTGTTACATTAGTTTTACTTGTTGAAACACTTTGTTCCACTTTATTCTTAATTTCACCAATGTCTCTATTATTAGTTTCATTATTTTGAATCATTTTATCTTTGTCAGGAGAATTTGAACTTGGACTTAGAAAATCAATAAATCTTTCAATAAAACCTTTTTTTTCAGCTTTACCATCAGATCCATTATTATCTTTACTAACAGATCTATTTGTAATATTCGTCTCGATTTTAAGAGTTTCTTCTTTAACAACATTAACGACATTAGTAGCCATGTGGGATAAATCAACTCCTTTGAATACATTAGTGATATTCTTCAATAAATTATCAACATGTCCAAAAGGAGAATAATTAGGAAAAACATCATTTCCATGTTTTTGAAAAAAATCCACCATAAATGAACCACTATATTTTGGACGATCATTTTCAGGTACAGCTAAAGCTAAAGCAAGTATAGAACCAGTTGAAGTTCCTGCAAGGATATCAAAAAAATCAGCACATCTCATATCAGCATTAGGATTTTCTTTTTTTAATTCTTCAGTTACTCGTTTTTCAATTTCTGTGAGTATTTTGGCAGGAACTAGACCTCGAATTCCACCTCCGTCAATTGAAAGAATAAATTTTGTATCTGTCTCTTCCATAACCTTTTTTACACATGTTAAAATATAATAAATTGTTATAACTTATAATGCTGTAATAAATTTTTGGTTATTAAGTTTATACATAGTGTTCGGCAAAATCAATCTTTTTTTTAACACTCAAATACATGTGACGGGCTGATTTTTAAATCAATACAACAATACAGTATTAATATTGCTGTATTGATTTAAAAACCAGATCGTCACATGTATTTGAGTGTCAAAAAAAAGTTTAATTTTGCCGAGTACTATTTATACAAGATAATTTTTATTTACTTAGAATTATTAATTTCTCGACCGTTTTAAAAATTTTCTGCTAAATTATTAAAGATAATAAACAACGGTTGCTAAAACGAAGGCTCCTAATACTGAATTCAGATTACGTAGTTAGAATTAATAATTGAAAAATTGGAGATGTAAATAATCAAAAAAATTAATTTAAAAATAAGACGAACCTTTTTGCTTATGAAATTTTCGATATTTTTGAATAAAAGATTTTTTTTTTTAGGTTCGTTAAACAACTCCTTTTATACGTATCATAATTCATTGAATTATCTATCAGATTGTTTATACAGTATTAATATTGTAAATCAAACAAAAGCACAACGTACATGTGATTTATAAAAATACATTACTAAATTTATTAGGAAAAAAAAAAAGATTTACGTACGTACATACGTACCAGTATCAAGTTATCCATCTACGCATAAATATTTGGTACGTATTTCTGATTGTATTTTACATATTTAGTAAAATGTGATTGGTAATTGTGTAAAGTGGCGTGCATTTTAATCGTGTTATCGTAGTACGACCTTTATTTTCATAAGCAACACAAACTCCTAAAAGGAAAGCAAGTTAATTCTGAGAATCCACTACGCTTTCAGGCTTTTAATCTTTGCTTTGTTTTACACGCACAAGCAACAGTATGTCTGTGTGAATGTGTGACATATCAAGTTTTCTTAAGTTGATCATCATTTAGATATCTACGCATATGTCTAAAAATGGTTATATTTACTTTTGACAGTGCAAAAAAGGGGCAGTGTCGTACATTTTGATTGTCAAACACTTATTTTTTTTTTTTACTTAATAGTGCAAAAAAAATAAATTTTTAAATATCTTTTTCAACGCCAGCTGTGTACAGTACAAAATTGGGCATCGGCACAAACTTTGAGCCATGTATTTGACACAGTTATTCTCATAAAAGAAATCTCATTCACGTGTTTTTCATTTAACATCAAGTTTTGACGTAATGAATATGTCTGAGATAAATAAAATTATTAATTGAGCAATGCGGTGGACACTCTCCCAACTGATGCATTTTTGAAAATCTTATCGTACGATTATACTTATTGATTGTGTAAAATTTATGTTTACGTATCACAAATAATATTATTAATTTGGTTTCTAAAATTTTTGATGATTATTAATTGGTTTGTTCGTATTTGAGACAGGGTGGCATGTGTAAAGCCCGCATGTAGTATAAGCTTTGATTCAAGATTTGCATGACCCTTTTTTATAATTTGCGTGAGTGGAGCTCAAGAATTAAAAAAAAAAAGTTTTAACAAATAATACATCAATAAATTTTAACTTTACGTATAAGCATGAAAACTTAAATCTCATACTGCATCCCTTAATTGTACAGATTTTATGCAGCTGATTCGGCCAGTACTACAATATAAATTATTATTTGATAGCACTATTTTAGAATTTCAACCTATCAACATTCTGCATCATCAATAATAGGTGGACCACTATTTAACTGCAGAATTTGCTAATTCAAAAAATCGCAGAACTTGTAGAATTTGCAGAAAATCACAGGTACTATGTATGTATAGTACGTGCGTGCTACTATGACTGTGATTTTTAAATTGTTGATACTGTAGCAGAAACTTTCCTAGATTCTAAATAATATCTATAATACTAAGAAATGCGTAGCATATTCCTATTGATCAATTTAACAAGTGCAGATCATATAACAAGATAAAGCGTTGCACTAATGCGGTGAGCCTTGAGAATAAATGAAAGTAAAAAAAAATAGGTTATTTTATAACATATTATCGCTCTTTTCGATTTAGTTGGATCGACGATCTGCATAATTTTTTTTGAGTCCTGAGTAGGGCTTACACATCGATTTACATGTCCGGATTAAACATTGCCGGTAATTTCCTTATGAGGCAATTTTTGCCATAAATCCGTAACGTTGGTCATACT